TCCTTCCTTCCTTCCTTCCTTCCTTCCTTCCTTCCTTCCTTCCTTCCCAGGGCATCTTAAGTTTTCTGAGAATGCATTTAATTAAGAAGTTGTTCTTGAAACATACATTTTATCTCACTTCTCTGGGAAAGCTATCTTCAAGGCTGTGAATAGTGAAGAATAAAAAGGTCAACAAATCTCAAAGAAACCAACATAAAACATGATTTAGGAGTTTTAATAAAAGTGTAAAACTCTAATAAAATATTCTAATATTATATTCTTTAAAATGTTCTAACACTAAAATGAATAACACATTTGTGTTTGTGATTTAATAGGTTGCACCTAATGATGAAGCTGTGGTAACATTGCTTTGTGAATGGGCTGTGAGTAATAAAAGATCTGGTAAGCACCGGGCAATGGCTGTAGCTAAACTATTGGAGAAGAGGCAAACTGAAATTGAGGCAGAAGTAAGTTATCTGCTAGTCTTCATTTCTAAAGGAAATTTTAGTTCACCTTTTAGAAATCAAGCATGATATTCCTGATCTCCAATGCAAATCTGTCTATAGAGAAACTTTAGGATAATTCTAAAGGAGCATTAGCATGCTTCTCACATTTTTGGGACAAAACAATGAAAAAACATTTACACATGGACTTTCTATAGTCCACTATGAACTATACAGGGTACATAATCAAAATTGTATAACTTAAAGAAAACATTAAACTGCAATTTTAAAGCTGCTGAAATGATTTTTCAGGCTATGGTTAAATATTCTCTTTTACTACATCATGTAAAAGAAGATTTTTAAATATAGTAGATAGATGCAATAGTTCCTTTTTATTCATGTAACTCAGGAACCACCATAGTAATATTTTTAATTCATGGAGGCTTGCATTAATTGTTTTGTTCTCTGTAGATAGTATTTGTATAGAACCTAGAGTCTCATTAGTCTCATCAGTGCCCATTTACAAAAAGATTATAGAAGATGTTCCAGTGTTGAAGAGTGTATATATTTATTTATTTGTTGAATGTATACCTACTGCAATGAATTGATTCCTGGTGGTTTACAGCAAATGAAAGAATAAGCAGCAATAGTTATATTTTAAAATGTCCACAATAGAAAATAAAATTAACAAATTTATAAGATTTATAAAATTATAATTTAAGTTGAGCGACTATGGAGGAAGAAATCAATGGTTGTACTTTGAAGCAATACCAAAAAGCTGCCTAGATACATGAAAATTTTGAATTTATTAGACCTCAATATTCTGACTTTGCAAAAAAAACAACAACACTCTACTTGGAACTGCCTACATGCTTAGATGCTTTTAGGTCTTAATAGGTCATAGATCTTTGGTTAGGACTTGAACTATTAAGTTTTTACCAGTGCCAGACTGTGAATGGAATTGAAGATTAAATCATCATCATCATCATCATCATCATCATCATCAATAACAATAACAATAATATACACTGAAATCAAGAAAAAGGCTAAAAGTGAATATATCCTAAGTATGAATAAGATCTAAAAGTCCAAACTCAGTGGAATAAATATGCAAATATGCAAGATAATGCAATTATAAACTGGGCAATTCCAATCATCAGTTGGAATAGTGAACTGGGCTCAAGTAGAAATAAAATGCCTGAATAGGAAGACCAGAAAAATGATGTCAATGAATCATGCTTTTTCACGTAATAGTGACAGACAGGAAAATAGGTGGGCATGGAATGTTGCAAGTACACCATACAGTTGAAAAAGAAAAAGGGGCATGGAAGAATATTTGGGGAACATTGTAGAAGATGCAGTGAAGCTAGTGTACCATGAAGGGTTACTGAAGTACCGGAGAAACCAGATTGACCTACAAGAAAGACCAAGTGAAGAATAGAAAAGAGATTTATATATATAACAGCAGAAAGTGGAGTACATTGGAAAATCTGCTAGAAATACCATTGGCCTGCAATAATTGTTGGGACCACAAAATAAACAAAGCAACAGAAAGTGAAGAAGCTAAAGTGCTGTGTAATTTTAGAATTTAAACAGACAAGCATCTGCCACATGACATTTCAGGCTTAACAATTGTTGATACAAATGTCAAAAAAATCTGGATAATGAACATGACAGTATTTGGACATAGCAGAATAGGAGAGAAATAACTGGGGATAAAAAATCACACAAAGACATACAAATAGAAATACTTTTATTTGTAATAGCTTACATCTTGTGATGATACCTTTAACACCATCAAACAAATTCCCTAGGTCCTTGGGAAAGACTCAGTCAGTGGATAAAAATGCCAAATCCAATCTAAGCATCTGACTGATTGTGCAACAAACCATAATAGTACCATCAATGCTATAAATGGCTGGGCAATACCAGTGACATGATACATTGCTGGAATTATTAACTGGATACTATATATTACATCCCTGTAGTGATATTAATAGATTATACCTGCCCTCTGGAAATGGAGGCAGAGGTTTACTTCTGGTGAAACAAACTGTCAAAAAGAAAAGCACGCAGTGGCTGTCCAAAGGTGCTTTTCCAAAAGAAACTGGGCTTTGTTTTTCCTAGAAGACGTTTCACTTCTCATTCAAGATGTTTCTTCAGTTCTGATTGAATGGTAGAGGATGGAAGGATTTATATTCTTCGCAGTCATCTGGTCATTAGCACTAATTCTGACAGTCCTGGAGGCTACTTGGCCCTCAAGGTCACCTAAGTAGTGCAAATGAGTGTGGAACCTTCTTGGAACTTCTGAAAGAACTGTTGTAAACAGGAAATAGGTGGTTTTGTATCCCTCCCCCTCTGTTGAGAGAGCGCTGTTCAGTCTTAATGTAGATAGCCTCTCTGACCTCTTTTTCAAACCTCTTTTGGTTCAAACCTTTTTTGGCTTGAAAGAGGGGTCAAAGAGTCCATCTATATTAATATCTCTCAACAGAGGGTGGGGGATATGACACCACATACCTCCTGCTTAGAGAAAATGAAACATTTTCAAGGAAAAAGAAAGTCTAGTTGCTTTTGAAAAAGCATCTTTGGGACAACCATGACCTGGATGACTGAGAAATTCCATAGGATTGGCTAATTATGTAAAAGACAGCCAAAACCAACAATTAATGCAAGTGAAAATGGGAACTTAACTAAATTTACAGGAAACAAAAAGATGAATTTCAAAATATTGTAATAAAAACAAGTACAGAATGCTGTCAATGAAAAATATTACATGGTTTAATTTATGCCAAAGATCAAGAGGAAAGTGATTTCAGATGAACCTCGAACATTAAAAAAAAGAAACTGAAGGCTTAATTTTGACTGTGCAAAACCAAGCTATTTGAAGTAATGTGATCAAGGGCAGAACTGAAAATCATCAAGTGATTCAAAGTGCAGATTGTGCACAGAAACAGAAAACAGTAGATTCATCTCATGGAAAAAGATCACACAAACTGATTGTAAACAACAATATAACATAGTCACCCAAATGATTCATTGGACTATCTACAAAACCTATCATGTACCACTAATGAAAATGAGTGGAAACATAGAACTGAAAAAAATAGCTGGAAATAAACATTAAAATATTGTGGGATTGCTAAATACAAAGCATAAAGTTTTGGCTCATACCACATCAGATACAGAAAATCTGCACATTGTCAAAATTTGCTTATGTGGATTGGAAAAGGCCACACTGCTTGGATCCATACATATACCACACTGATAAATAATAATATTCTAGTTTCTTGGGAAGAACCTGATGTATGAAGACCAATGCCAGCTAAGGAACTGGTAGCTATTACTTCATATTGTTAACAGATAATAATAATCAATAAAAGGTATCTTATAGTTTTAGTGTGTGAGAATGATGTAGGAATATCCTTTCATTTCTTTAGCGAAACAAAAACAAACCCCACAGTGACACTTGAATGCAGTTTCTTAATTTGTATTTGTGTTTTACTAAACCAAGATTCAAGTAACTCTTAAATTAGATTTCATCATAGATTATCACATTGTCCAAATGGATTGACAAGTCATTTCTCCTTAATTTAGCTATTCTTTGTAATTTCTGGGAAAAGAGGGGGATGAAAGTAATTTTAATAGTTATGATACCACAAGTTTATTCTTTTATTTTACATACTTTTATAGAGATGTGGTGAAGTTGAAATCATGGATGAAAAGGAATCCATTTCTTCAGCATCATTTGCTGGTTCTAGCCTCCCTGTTTTCCAGAATGTTCTCCTTAGATTTTTAGATACTCAAGCCCCCTCATTACGTAAGTATCAAATTATATCTGTTCCAAATTAGGATTAAGTACATTAATTTTTTCCAGCAACTGTATTACTTTTTGTACCTGCTTGGATTTATTGTGAATTTAACAACATTCAATTCTTCATTTATTGTCAGCTGATCCAAATGGTGAATATGAAAAAATTGAATTTGTGAACCTAGTGCTGCTTTTTGGTGAATTTATACGGCATGATGTTTTTTCACATGATGCTTACATGTGCACTTTAATATCACGTGGAGACTTATCTGTCACTGCAGCTTCTAGAACACGTTCACCAACTGGGGAAAACATGGATGAGCACTATTCTAAGGGACACGATGTGAAACTTGAGGTAAGGAGCCCATTGTCGCCTTATCATGGAGATGAGTGGCAGATAAATTTAATAAATAGTGTATGTATGTAAGATTGGATTATTTAACTTCTGAATTGATATAACATTAGAAGACATCTGAAAGTTTAAAAGATAATTTGTGATTTGCTACAATCTTTGGGATGAAATGATAAAATGCTACTTGACTGTTACACCTATCATGTTGTAATTGTCTGGCTCCCTTAGATCAAATTGTATTTATAAAAAACAATAATAAAAATAGTAACTTTTGAAAAAAATATAAATAAATTTCTTTCATTCAAATACTTCCCAAAATATACTCCTGGTGATTTACAATAATAAAAATGAACACAACAAAGTTTAAAAGCCACAGTACAAATGCAGTATTAAAAAAAATTAAAGAAGCACTAATAAATGTTATGGAATCATTATGCCAATACATGCTAGGCAACAGCAACTTGAGATGTCCTGAAAAAGACATATTTGAAAGATCACAATGGTTAGTGCAAGTCTATTATTCCAACACAGGAAAGAAGATATAGTTAGAATTTGTAAGCAAAATCTTTGGAACTTTTTTTTTTAACTATAGAGGCTCTTGTTTACCTTTTTGAAGTGTTTGGTAAAATCCAATAATGTCTGTGGGGCCCTTGGTGTTTTCTGAACTTGGTGGCTTTCTTGCAAATGTTTCACTATCCAACATCATCAGTATTGGGGAAATGAGGAACCCGCAGAAACAGCCTTGACAAAAGTCTTAGAGATGGGATATGATTGGAAGAAGGATGGAGGCCCAGTTGTGTGAGAGAAAATTTACAAACATATATTTAAAACCGCTTATTATTTGGAACTACAAGAATATTTCTTTACCACTTTTAAATACATTGTAATTTACAATGCCTTAGAGAAATTTTAATTCTCTAGAGCAGCCAAAACTGATTTGCTACACTTTTTCTTCCTCCTTGTTGAAACACCTGATCCCACAGCAGAAATACATATTTCCTGGGAGATCATTCATTTCATTGTAAACAATCTTACAGACCGATCTCCTGAGTACAGTCTACTCAAGCTTGTTAACTTTATTATTTTCAGCACAATACCAAAGATAACCTATCTTGATTGTAATGTCCATTGACTATATTCACTCTTACTGCATATAATAAGTAATTTATATTATGCTTGAATTCATATAATTTGTGATCAGTTCAACGGGTTTTCATTACACTCTGACTCACATTTTTGTTTTTTGTCTCTTTGGTGAAAATTAGGAACATAGCCTTATGGAACACATGTATATTGACTCAGGAACCACTAATATTTTTGATGATGTAGACAAGAATGACTTAAAGACAGACTTTGGTTCGGAATTTCCAGTAGGTTTAACTTCTTATTTTAAACCCACAAACAATGTATTTATTAATTCTTCCCTTTGCTACATGACATCATGGAATATGCCCTGCTTATCTGCTATACATTTTTTTTTCACATTTTCACATACCTTAACTTGTCTAGCAGAAATCTATTTTTGTTCTGCAAAACAGTATTATGTTAGGTTTTCAAACTTTTTCATCTAGTTTCACTAATGTTCAAAATGCCATTGTGGTGAATGCATCATGCACAACATCAGGCATAACTTGATATTTTTGTTTTTTTCTGTTGAAAATCCTGAAATACAAACCCTTTCATAGACCTTATTTGTTACTGTAAAATGGATAGCCACATCATCTGAAAGAAATTTCAACATGTAGAGTCCCAATATTCCAAAGAAGATGTTGAACATGGTGTGATGTGTAGAAATAAGCATTTCTGAATAATTAGTCATCAGTGGCGGACAACAAAGATGAATGTTTCCCATATTATAAAATAAGAAAAATATGTTTTACATTTCCTTGATATACAGTATTGTACAAAAGCATGCTGTAATTGTTTTCTTGCTAAAATATGAACTATTAGTTTTAGATGTTTCTAAAAAGGTTTAATCCTCCCCCGCAATTTATATAAAATTAACTGCAAGCATTTAATTCAATATTAGCATGAATTTATAGGCTTTTCACCTTATTTCATGATAGGCTATTTCCAATCTTTATATCAGTAGTATAGGGAAGAATTGAAAAATAAGTTTTAAAGAAACTCTCTCTCTTGGGCATGCTAACTGAAGCTGCTGCTTATATGAAGTAAAAAAATAACACACACCAAAATGTTGGATTGTCCACTTGCTAAAATCCTGGACAGCTACTACTAACTGATAGTACTAAGTTAATTAGATTGGTGTGATTCAGTAGAAATCCTGCAATAAAATGATTGCAAATGTGATTGTTTCACTTGCAAATTGCAGTGAATGGATGTTTAAATGTAACAAAATTCATACTAACTGAAAACTTGCAAATATCTGCATGCACATTGAACCAAACATCAGGTAGTCCTCAATTTAAACCGGTCCTTTAATGAGCCATTCCAAGTTATGGTGGCCTTGGGAAGTGTCCCAGGTGCAATGGCAGAGAAGGCCCTTCTTTTGAAATCTGCTGCCCAGAACAAATGGATGGAGCCCACAGCATATCTTCTACACTGGCATGGGTGGGATGGTCCAATCTCACTGGAATGAGAGAGTCCTTCAAGTAGCCTGGACTCAGGCCATGAAGGGCTTTACAGGTGATTATCAACACCTTGAATTGTACCTGGAAACAGACTGGCAACCAATGCAGCTCATGGAGCAGTGGAGCTCATGGGCCATTCTTCAAGAACTGCCAAGAATATAATGTTTTCCTTCCCCCATGGTCACATGACAATTTTTCAGTTGCATGGCAATGGATATTCACTTAACAACTATTGCCAATTACCCCTCCCCCTCAGTCATGTGATTGTCATTTGCAATCTTCTCAGTTGGCTTCCTTAGAAAGACAGTGGGAAAGCAGGCAGGGAAGGTTTCAGGCTGCTGCCCACCTGCTGGGAAGACTTCCCTCATTTCAGGGCTGGCTGAAAGTACTGCCTGCTGCCTGGAACTCAACCATTGGGCTGCAGAAACTGGGCTTGCACCCCATGATTCAAGCACTGTTTCTGCAGTCTGGAGAAGGTATTTTCTTCTGTGCATGGAGAAGAGCTCAGCCCCTGACCACTATTTATGTAGCCTGGTAGTGTTCTCATCTGCTGAAAAACTGCTGTAACTTTGAACAGTCACTTAACAAACAGTTGTAAGTTGAGAACTACCTGTACATAGACAGGTTTCTTTGGCTTTAGAAACAGTTACCCTATCTTTTTACTCAAAAGCTTTGCATTTGGTCCGTTTTCTTATTACTGTAACATAAAGGCTAGGAGCTGGAATAGGAAGTTGTTCATTAAATTGTCTGTTGCTACTTTCATGGAATGTAGAGGGTTTGCTAGTATAGCAACTTTTATATTGTTAGTACTGAATGCTATTCCCACCTCCTCAATAACATTACTATTCACTATTGCCTATTTCAAGATAATTCCATTGTATTGAAACTAAATCATAGATACCTTTGATTTATTTCCTGTTTCTTGTTTATTTTTTAAAAAATAACATACTATAAATCTGGAGGACATTTATGTTTATAATATTAAATATTTTAAATGGCCTAGATCTTTTCTCCAATGCCTGGGGAGTCTTGTGAAAATCTGAATTCAATACCAGTACAAAACAGAAGAGCTTCAGTAAGTAATGAAAAGTCTACAAAGAAAGAAAAAGGAAGGGAGCTGATTTTCCCATCAAATTACCATCTCCTTCGACATTTGCAGTATGCTACACATTTTCCTATACCTTTGGTAAGTAACCCTTCCCATCTTTAAGAGTTGATGCAAAATTTTGAACAATGAGATCCACTTCATATATATTAATTAGGAAATGTGTCTGTGTAAGTTTAATCCCAACTTATTGTTTTCTGTAGTCTACATCAGTGATCCCCAACCTTTTTTATGCCGCGGCCCGGTACCGGCACCGGAAGCACTTTTTCATCAAAAAAGATGGCGCCAGCGCTTCCGGTGAGCTTTTTCGGGTAGAAATGGCTTTCTACCCGGAAAAGCTCACCGGAAGCGCTGGCGCCGCCATCTTTTTTTGATGAAAAAGTGCTTCCGGTGAGCTTTCTACCCGGAAAAGCTCACCGGAAGCACTTTTTTATCAAAAAAAGATGGCGGCGCCCAGCAACCAGCGGCCCGGTAAGACTTGTTCCGCGGACCGGTACCAGTCCGCGGACCGGCGGTTGGGGACCCCTGGTCTACATCTCAATTTAGCTGGATGTAGACGCTCTTCAACTAGCTTCTGCATTATTTAAACTTCACTGAAAAGAGTAACAATTTAATCATAACTAAACTTAATCTATTATATATAATGGGACCTAATCAACTAGAAATGTAACTTGGGATGGACAGAATCAACATTATGATATAATGTAAAAGATTCAATTCTTACGAATGAATTTTTTTTGTTATTTCGACATTACTTTCAGAGAGTCAGTTTGGTGTAGTAGTTAAAAGGCATTAAGTCACAAATTGAGAGACTGAGTTCTAATCCCATCTCATGCATAAAGGCAGGTGAGTAACTTTGGGCCAGGCAGTCTCTCTCAGCCGTAGAAAGAAAGCAGTGGCAAACCACTTCTGAATATCTTGCCAAGAAAACTGCAAGAACTTGGCCAGACTGATAAAAGCATTTTGTTTAGTGAAAGCACCATGGATTTTGTAAATAATTTAAAATGCTGGTCTTTTGGCACTATTTCACAGGTGTGAAACATTAGGATTAGAGCCAGAGTTGGCAATCTGTGCCCCCTCAATTTCTGAAAATTGAGCGTCCTCCCGATTGTGTGTTTGAAAATTGTCATCAATTTAATTGTATCAAGTTACTGCCATGCTTAGAGTACCTGTTATATATATTTGGAATGCTCCTTATTGCAAATAGGATGAAGTAATGTTTAAAGCCTACCAAAGCATTTCTTCAGATCAACTGATACCTTGTGTAATTAAGGCAGAATTAGTTTAAGTCTCTTTCACATGCTTGCCCTCTTTCTTGGACCAATGTTCTATCTCCATGTTCCTGGAGTCTGCTAGACATTCTTTTGTATAGGATTAACATTTTCAGCTTTTTTAGAAGGTGTTCTTTAGAGAATAATAATAATGTAATAGAAAATAGTAGAGTTCCTCATGAAGCAAAAGTTTGCATGAAGTTATCCAAAAGGGAAAAAGTTTGTTCTAATGAAATCCTTTGAAAACCGTCTTTTCCCCTTAGATCGATTCAAAGGTATTTAAGATTTTCATAGCTTTGAAGGTCATCAATTTGGAAATAATGACCCAACACATATCTATTCTGCTTTAAGAATGGCAGATGCGCAATAAGGGGAAGAATAAATTAGAAAATAGTATATTAAATGATACATATTCAGCTCAGATGCATGCATGAGGAAGTTCTCAGTTTGTGTACTTTTTCTTTTACCTACGATTAGAATTGGATTAGAATTTCTCTTCCAATAGCTTATAGTTTATCTTTGTATTAAAACTAGAAAAATAAGGATTTACTTACTGTTAAGCAGAGCATGAAAGCATGGATCTCTTTTAAGACCTTTGTGTGATCCACCACTCTCAAAACTTCTTCAATCTGAACTTTGGAAACATCTACTGGTAACGATTATTCACTGATGAAATGAAATAACCTTTGGACTAATTTTGGAGACATTTGTCAGTAACAAGTGAGAGCTAAATCTTATCCAGGCCTATTAAATGAGCTTTTTAGCCAGTTTTCATGTTTCCTGACTTTCATCTATTTTCTAGTTATCTTAATTATAGCTTTGTATGATGATGCTGATCCTATATTTTTACTATTTAACTTTTACTATTTAATTATTTAATCATGATTTGTTCCGGGAGATTCATTGCAATCAAGAGCAGAGATCCCCAACCCCTGGTCTGCGGCCTGTTGCTGGACGGTAGCCTATTGGGAACCTGGCCATGGAAGTGGTGGAGGAGTGCATGTGCATGAATCTGTATTTGTGAAAGTGCCCCTTGTGCACGCAAAACTGTTCCCGCTGCCCCCCAACCGCCGCTGCCTCAACTGGTCCACCGAGCCGGAAAGGTTGGAGACCACTGATCTAGAGGATGAAGTATAAACTACTGTTTGGCATATCACACAAAATGCCCATGTTCTCCTTCTGTTCAGTCTTACCACCGCTCGCCCCCAACAGTCCCCAACCTTATTCAAACCATAGAAGTCCAAAGTAGGCCAATGAAGTGGGAAGTCAAATGCATTTTTAATGTCCTGTTCATGTGGAAAGGATTGCAGTTTCAGCTGAAACCTGAAACTCTGGCATTTTCTCTTCGTGCATTTCTTGATCATCTAGAGAAATGTGTCTACCTTTAAAGGATACAAAATGTTTAGTCATTGTTAGTCTAAAGGTTTTTGACAGATAAAAATACAAAATGGGATCGAAGCACAGATTTGATACACTAAAGAGCAAAGTGGATTCTTTTGCTTTGTAGAGAGATTCTCTAAGGAAACAGTCTGTGATTATAGTTTTGCTTTGGCTCAGCGTATATGGGATTCGAACAATATGGTAAGGAAGAAAACATATGATGTAGCTTGCGGTAACTAAAAGGATGTTTACCAGAGCTTTTTTTACACTGGGATAGTCTTCTGTACCTTTGTTTTGAAAAAGTAATCTGATCACAAGAAAATTAGAGATGAGCACCATAGCTGAAAAATACAGAAATATTGCAGTACATATGAAATTGGTGAACACGTGCCAGTCTCTTCCCACTTTTGTTTTGAAATCAATGCATCCTACATTTGGTGATTCTTTGACCTCTGTGATTGGAATAATCATATTTGGTACCATGATGAAGAGAACCATTAACCATACCACTGCTGAAATCATCTTGGCAAAAGTAGGTTCCTGAATCCTATAGATCTTGTATCCCTTTGTTAATTGGAGGCACCGGTCCATGCTTAAAAATCCCAAGAATATGATTGATAAGTACATATTAATGTAGATCAGGCATGCTGTGACTTGACAGTGGAATATTTTCAGTTTCCATGGGGCAACTCCTAAATCTACAATTATTTTCACTGGCAGGGCGAGGGTCAGCAAAAAATCTGCTGTCAATAGGTTAATTAAGTAAACATTCATACATTTGCAATGCTTCTTGGTCTTCAGGAAGGCCCAGAGAGCAAAACAGCTGCCAATGAATCCAGTAAGGAAAATCAAATAATAAAAATAAGTGAATGGCTGCATCTGAGAATAAATATTGCATTCTGAAGAATTGATTGAAGCCATCTGAAATATTTCAAAGTAGAGGCAAATTGTAGGAATCACCTTGAATCTGTGAATGAGAAAGAGAGAGAATGAGAATGAGAGGGAGAGGGAGAGGGAAAGAGGGAGGGATGGAGGGAAGAGAGAGAAAGAGAGAGAGGGAGAGAGAGAGGGAGAGAATATTAAAAAGCTTTGAATGTCAGGATAGGAAAAGGGCAGGCATTGTGACAGGGAAAGCTCTCTTGCTTACCTGTAATCTTAAAAGTAGCTTAATTAAGATGCAACTAACAGTGTCTTATAGAATGTTGGCATCATGTTCAAGGTGTTAGTCTGAAACAAAAGTAGTAATTTTGTACCAGTATAAGTAGTAACAATTGTAGCAAATTGTTAAAGCATACATGCTGAATAGAAAATTGTAAAATCAGTCGTTTCCTCATGTACCAGCAGTTGCTACTTCTAGGAAACAGAAGCAAAGTAACTTCACCCAAATGAAAAACAATGAATTCTGAGTTTTCAATAAATATATGAAATATTACTATGAGCCTTCTCATTCTTAAAAAAGATGTAGTGTCAATAATAGATAAAGAGAAATCAGAAAAAAATATTACCTAGTTTGGGTAATAAAACATCTGCAAAAATACACCCAAGGTCAGAGAACACCAAGGACCCCTCATTTCAACCCTATAAATATAAATATCCTCCTTTATTAGTACCACATTATGATTGTCCACTACCTTCACAATCACAATCATGGGACCTTCTTTTTTGCATTTCTTCAACTATCTGGCTATTTGTTCGTACATTCTTTTATTTCTTTGCTAATTGTTTAACCAGAAATGTGACCAGAAAAGATAATTTTTTTTAAAAAAAGGCAACCAAAGCAAAGCAAAGAAAAAAGTAAAAAAAACACCCACAAAAGCCCACAACCCCATGGGCTCTCCTGATCAACCTATATTTCACCAAGGGTGGGGGGTGGAGGGAGGGAGGGAGGGAGGGAGGGAGAGAGAGGAGAGAGAGAGTGAGTGAGTGAGAGAGAGAGAGAGAGAGAGAGAGAAGCTCGGTATGCTGTTTTGTTTCAAAAGTGGTTTTGCATCCTGTTCTGTGCCTGTTATTTTACTGTTAACTGTAGAATAAACTTGTAATAATACATGATACCCAATCTAAGTAGGCATTTCAATGGTTTGAAGAAGTTTTATTAGTATAAACCTTGCCATGAACCTTTTACATTCCTTTTGTAGTTAGTAATTTTACGATCAGAGAGAGTCACATTTTAGTCTGGCTTTTTTCTCCCACTGCTGTAAATACAACTCTTTTGTTGACTTAATTTGTTTTAACTGGTGAATAATTATAAATGCATTACAGTTAATAATTCCAAATTACTGGAATGGAACATATGTTTTCATTCTTACTGAATGGGAATCCCAGAATTCCTAAGCCATAGAAAGCATGAGAAATTTCTGGCTGTTTAAATGTTATTTAGAAAAACACCAGATGTGGAAGCTTCCAAATTTGATCTATGATGATTCCCTTATC